AACAGCAGACCTAGCAATGGATTCAATATAATTAATCTACTTCATGTCAGTGGAAAACATCAGTTTGAAAAGATGCAACAAGAAATTCTTACAGTTGATGATTAACCCTTTTTGGTTATCATGGCTCTATGAAAAAAACAATCATAACAGCTTAATAAATGTAATCAGAAGTATGAAAAACAGCTGCTTGTATTCTTTATGTAATTGGAAAAGTCATGAACTCACTTCTCCCTGTTATCTGTCCTATCACCAGTCAACTAAATCTGCTTATATTCTCTTTGCACTAATGCCCTTGGGAAAGGCAAGAACTCAGTTTTCACTGTTACCTGTGCCATCGGCAGTCAACATAAGCTGCTTATATTTTTTTTTGCAATAATGTTCTTGGGCAAGGCATAAACTCATTTTTCCCTGTGCTCTGTCTCATTGGCAATTGGTCCAAGCTATTTCTCTTCTCACTAATGCCCTTGGTAAAGGCAAGAATTCAGTTTGCCCCCAAAGCAGATATATTGACAAAAGAGTTTCTCTGGCTTGCCACAATGACTGAGGGAGAAGAGAATGTGCAAGAGAGCATTTGGTCAACCACTCCCTCATAACTACTTCTCAGGCAGAAATAATTGTACAAAGTTGTTCCACCTTTTGTCAACTTTAACAGTCAGAACTGAAACAGATGTCCTGTGTTTTCAAAAAATAAATAAATAAAAAAAATAAATGCTGGAAAAAAATCAGTGAAATAATTCTTTTTTTAATCATTTCACTCTAAGCAAGGATATAAAGCCACTAAGTTGCAAGTGGTTACTGAAAGAAAACTGAAATAAAATTTTTAAATAAACAAAATGGTTCCAATAGAAAAAAGGTATTTTCTCATAAAACTTGGTTTATATCATCAAAACAAGGGATAGTGCATTCTACCTTGAACCTCCTAACCAGGGGAGTCTGATTGGGGCCCCGGGCAGTGCATTGTGACCCTCGCTGTCAACATTTGTTTTTTTTTTCTACCTATATTTATATATGTTACAAATTAAATTAAGTACAAACGACTATCAAAAAGATGAAAAATTTTTGCAGATTTTGACGTAATTTTTTTGGCGGGGTTGTCTAGGTCTGTGAATTTGTTTTGCTCATGTTAAGTCTTAAAAAATGCTATATAAAATTCACTATTTTTTATCCATAATGTTGAATGTGTTAGAAGTAATCAAATTTTTAACAAGAAAAATTTCAAGTTGATGTTAAAAGTTGAAACAAAACATTGTTGATTAAAGATGGAATGATCTATTATGACATCTGTAATTTGTATTTAGATACATTGTATTTATTTACAATTTTTCTATTTGAATTGTTCAACTATATTTGATATGATCCATTATTGTACATAATTAAGATACAATAAAATTTGTATGTTATATGAATACTACTTTATGAAAATTGAAATGTAGTAGAAGAGCATGCAAAAAAAATCGATAGCTGTATTAAGTCACAAGTGGGAAAAATTTAAATCTGCATGGCACTTTACTCCAATTGGCTCATTAAACACACTTAAACTCAACGTTGATTCTGATTCCGCAGAATTGGGTTGGGTGTGAAAAAAATTTGTTGTTAACATTCTTTTTTCATTCAGTTTTTTCCAGTCTGAGTCCTTTTTTAAAGCTGATCAGTTTGTGTTCATTTTGTTTAGTACTTTTTTAAGTAACAGATTTAATGTTTAGTATAGAGCTTAGAAAAAATTTGCAGTGTGAGATAGGCAAGAAGTAAGGCATGTAGCAACATCAGCACAGCAAAGGGCACTACTTTAAAGGCAAGGAAGGGCAAAAATATTTTAAGTCAAGTGATAGCGATTGCTGTATGAGTCGTACGATTTTTGAATCAAGCATGGGCAACGCCAGGCAATGCAGCTAGTAAGATTATAAGACTAAAAGTATTTTCTTTTATCATAATAGGCAAAGCTGCTTGCTTGACCCATGGGGTACAACTTGGGATTACTAGGTAATGTAATTGACTTCCGACAACATAAGATATTTTTTGGCTTTAAATAAATGACAAAGAGTTGACAAGCCATGAAAAACAAATCAGTCACTAAATCAAATTAATCCATAAGGCCTGCAATCCAATTTTTGAGGAGTGAGGTATTAATGTATTATAGTTTGAATAATGAGTTTGTTCCTCACTGGGTGCCTCATATTTTCAGCTTCGTGCCACATCTAAGCTATGCTTAGGAAATCATTTTGGGCACTTTGACATGGTGTAATGGTTAGCAAGTTTGTCTTGCTAGATCAATTACAACTGAGTAGTGAGTTTGGTCTTCACTGAGCGCCCCCTACATTCGGCCTTGTGCCTCACTTAAGCTATGCTTAGAAAATCACTATAACACTGGACATTTGCAAACCTGTAATTAATACTGGATTTTTGACAAACCTATAATGGCTATGTTGATTTCAATCTGATAAGAATGACTCCAAAACACTTGCCCCTCCCCTTTTATAGGCCGAAGTACACAAATGCATGCTGGGATTTCTTCCTAGCCAATAAGATAGGCCGCTTGTCAGTCTCATCTGACTCAGTTCTGCTCTGTCTCATCTTGAAGTCAGAACACTATGTTTGTTTATCTTCCTCCTTAGCAATAGAATATGAAGAGAATAAGAATGATTCAACTCTGTGTACATATTGTGTGATAGCCGTGAAGGTCTGAATTAGCAGAACTAAGGAATGTAACTTGTCAGAACCTTTTTCAATGAGATAGTGATAGGTTTACAATGTTTCATCAGTATGGAAAAGGAGCTGTAAAAAGTCTGCAATCTGACCAAGAAGTCCTTCTGCAAAAAACTCTGAAAATTTGGTCAGGCTGAGAACTTTTCACCAATTTTCAATATTTTTCAAATACATGTTTCTCTGACTTAAATCTTTTTGATTTATTTATAAATAAGAAATATTTATGAATAAAAATTTGCTCCAATTATCTTATATCCATAATAAAAATGGATGCACCTAAAAGTGAACATATTTTTAAAATGGACAGCTATTATAAGCTAAAAACGCTCATCAGTTACATTATTTACATGCAGACTATTGTCCTCATCTTTGTTGTTATTATCACAATTTTTCAGCTGTTGTACTTTCTGGCCTTCGTCAAGAGCTTGCTAATCCAAGTAACTTTCAGGGAATTTCAAACTGAACATTTTATTTAATCTACAGAGAATATCATACAGGAACTGGTATTTCAACGCAATATGGCCATAAACCTTAGAATAAATACAAGAAAAATAACAGAATATTTTAAGTTGTTATTAGGCTTTCTCATTTTAAAATATACTTTTCCAATTATTGCATTAATATATAGAAATTATGTGGGGGATCAGTTTATTACATAAGGACAATAGTAAACCCATTTTATGCCCAGTAGAATTCAATATTTATACTCGTTTTGCTGCCATAAAAAAATGGTGAAATTATAGTAATTTTTCCAAATTTTCTTGTACACTGCTCTTAAAACACAATCGATTATTTTACCTGCTGGTTTTGTAAACATGATAAATAGTGGAATAGTTAATTCATAAGTGAACTTAACAGTTCAGAAGCGTGTAAGCTAAATTCCTGAGTGCATAAATCCCTCCCTAGTGGGGTGTACGCACTCGAATACTTACCGGTCACAGGGCTCTGTCCCTGTGCTGGTGGTATCATGGCTATGACCAGCTTGGACCAGCTATGACAAGCCAAGACTAGCTCTAACTAGCTTAGACCAGCTATGACCAGCTTGGACAAGATAAGACCAGCATAAACCAGCGTCCCGAGTGAAAACACTCAGGTCCCCACATTAAAAACTGACCTTGTGTCACAACCTGACTTAGTGGGGGGTCAAGTAAATACTGTGTACTTAACAGTTCAGATATTCACAGCTAAGACCTGCCATGTCATGTACACAGGGACGAATCATCTTCATTTGCTTCATATTCCCTTAGTAAGGAGGAAGTTCTATTTGAAGAGCTTTTTCCCAAGAATAGCTACTTTGTGGAGCAAACTTCCCAGTGGGGGAAAAATCTGGCTGGATACATTTAATGACTCGAAAACCAAACTGGTTACATTCCATCACCACTGATCAGACACTGACCTACCACCAGTCATGATGAAGGGATGTCCCTCTCAAGGAGACTCCATGCATTGGGAGAATATTGGGCCTCAAACTCATACCTGACCTCAAGTGCAACTCTTATATATGATCCATCGCTTAAGATGCAGGTAAAATGATCGGCTCCCTGTACAGCTCTAGTATGTACCTGACTCCTCATGCTATCTTTTACCTTTATAAGAGCCAACCCTCCAACCTCAATCTCACAGGCAGGGTGTGGTGAGTCTCTCACTGCCACTTCCATGGAAAGTGCTCAGATGAACTACATTCCTTGGTTTTGCCAGATCTAACCTTCATGGCTAGAATCTGCCATGCCACTTACATTGTAGCAAACCACACACATTCCCTCCATATTCCGTTGACAAGAAGTAAATTCCACTCAAACAGCTTCTTCCCCCATACCACTGCCCTATTGAAGAGATTCCCAAGAGGACATTTCCCTGATCACTACAATCTTAAACTGTTCAAGTCTAGAATTAACTGTTATCTTCCCCTCATCCATATAAACTACCCCTTAACATAACCCTCTACTTCAAGTAGCCCCCTGGCCTTGTACAGGGTGTATCTTACTGTAAAAAAAAAAAAAATACTCTTAAGAAGATGCTTCAACAATCACAACAATCTTAAATTCTTCAAGTTTAGAGGTAACTGCTACAGTTCTTCAAAAACTGCAATTCTTACCTCTTACTCTTATGTTCATACAACAACCTAATTCTGTAACCCTGTACCTTGAGTGGCTCTTGGGCCTTCTACTGAGTGAATAATTAATTTTAAAAAAACAAAAAAACTTTAGTTGCAAGTAAAATTCTGAGAAATTTAAAAATCAATAGTGAACAACAGATTTTTTACAAACTGTCATTGCAAAACCATTGTTTCTAATTAATTAATTGTTTCTTTGTTGTTCCACTTTATTCATAAAGGCGGTAACCTTTTCTGGGTTTAAATCTTTTGCCCAGTTTCCATCTTCCTTGAAATAAGAACCAATTATAAGACCATTGGCATTCAAAAATCTGGAGACATTATCCAAAGTGATCCCAGATCCAACCAGCACAGGAATATCAACAGTTTGCAGAACAGCTGCAACAGAAAAAAATATAAGAATCAATAAAAAAAAAATGTAAAATCACAATTTTGATTTTATCTGGCAATTGAAATTGAATTTTTAGTCAAATCACAAATTTGAAGTGAATGATAAATATGCTTTAAGACAAAAAAAAAGGCACTTGCCAATAAATACAGGAAACTGTTAAAATAATTTCAGACTTCATAAACTAATCTCTGTGATTTTATTTTATAATAAATAAGTACAGTAAATTCACTATTGTCTTTGCTATGAACAGCCCCCTGATGACAGACAGGTGATCCTTGTCATGCATGTCACTCCTTCTTTAGTGAACAGTCAGTTCCAAGGGAGCTGACCTCCTTTCTATTGTTTTCTGTTAGTCTTGATTCATTTTTATTTTTCTTGGGATTGATAGCAGAGTGGTTTCACACAGCCTTCTCCACAGTGACTTTATCGAGACACTACCTCTAGTTAGCTGGCCATTGACTCTTCATCTGCCCTTTGATAGGGTTTATTTTTCATCATTCTGCAAAGTTGCTAAACACACTCCTTGCCTTATCTTAAGAGGAGTTTAACTTGAGCCAGTTTAGTTGCTGACATTTTGAGAAAAATAAAAAAAAATAAAATCTTTGCTTCCTTATTCTGTAACACCTACAAAAAACTGTCTGGAGAAACCTGACTTGGTCTGCAACCGAGGGTTTGTGTTGAAGTCATCAGATAAGTGATTCACATAGAACAATGAAAGACAGTTTGTAACACACAATAATTAAGCCTTACTCAATTGCAAATCATATGAAGCAAAACTCTACACTCGAATTTTAATGATACAGGTTACCTTACTACTTCAGAAATGTTAATAATAATAGATATTATAATAATAATCCTATGATAATTGTGCTTGTCCCTTTGTTACACCCTTCCAATACCTCATAAATAATGGACTATTCCATTTTGATCACATGGAAAGAGAGAAAAAGACACTACTTGGTTTCAGTGAGAAAATGAAAGAAAGGAAGATGGTAAGATAGAAGTGGAGAGAAAGAATCAGATTAAGCTGATAAGAACAGATACTACACTTTGATCTCAGCCAAAATACCAAGAAATCATAACGACCACAATGAAAAACAACTTTTTCAGATGCATGCTATTGAACAATGGAAACCAAATAAATAATCAGCAAATACTCAATCACCATAATATAAAATAACATAGTCTACTGATTCTTTTAAAATTACTATTAAGAGAAATGTTCATAAAAGGGGGATTTGGATCGAAAGAAATAAATAAGCGAAGATAAAATGGTTTAATGTTTCCTGCCAATATCTTAATAAATAATGGCCTATTTTGATCATGTGGAAAGAGAGAAAAGGACACTACTTGGTTTCAATGAGAAAATGAAAGAAAGAAAGAGAAGAGAAGAGAAAATAGAAGTGGACAGAGAGAATCAGATTAAGCTGATATGAACAGATACTACACTTTGATCTGAACCAAAAAGCAGAGAAATGATTGTATTTTCTTGCTGCCCGATGCTGGAAGGATGTGACACAAGGTTGGTTAATGTGGGGAGTGCAGGCACAGGCACCTGGGCCAAGTTCTAAAATAGCACAGCCTCTGCAACCATTGATCGAGCTGGCATTGATATTACAAATGATCTTCCCTCTTTAGTGCAATGAAGGAGGTACTGCCATTTCCCACCCACTGCACCAAAAACAAAAAGTTGAAAAGATACAATCACACACATTAAAATCAACATACCATATTTGCTGGCCTATTGGATGTAGAATTTTTTTTAAAAATTACCCTACGTCCAATTAAGCATTGTCATATATGAGAGAGACATGAAGACCATGAAAAAAGTGGGGTTTACCAGGAATCACTGCATGCCTAGAGCTTAGATTTGAAGCTAGGACTCCTGGAAGTGAACCAACAAACAATATCAATAAAAATTTCCCTGAAAAATTCACCCAGGAAAAAGAAATTTATGGAATTGCACAATATTTTGCTGCTTGTTTTATAGAAATACCAGATTTTACAGAAATATTTGCTTTGATTGGCAGATTGCTGCTTGCTTTGTGTGTTTTTGTTGATATACAGGTATTGGAATTTGCTTTTCAGCATGTATGGTATGGGACTTCATTTACCAACAAATACCACATTTCTGTTTTTTTTTGTCTATTCCCATATGTACCAGTGTTCACTGATACCAGTAGATTTCTTTGTAGCTATTATGTGCAGATGTTGCTCCCTAAAAAACAACAAAAACAATTTTCAATAAATGCATGATGAAATATACTAAAATACTTCTTTTCCAATAAATGCCCTGGTAATTAAACCATACCTCACTTCTATTTAAAAATAAAAAAGTATCAGTTGTATAATTTGTTAATACTGTAAGTGTTTCTTCATGGTTAGTGAGAAGGTCAAATAAAGGTAAGGTTATAATTTAGATTTTTTGGTTGAGATGTGTGCATTTTTTTTTTTTCCTAAATATTCCATACCAAAATCTGGGTGCATCCAATGCGTAGGTGTGTCTAATAGGCCGGCAAATATGGTATATGATCTTGCTACCCAAAGCGGGTGAATGATTGCGATGAGACTAGTACATAACTGAAAAAGGTATCAGCCCATGTAACTCTATCAAGATAACTATTACAGTTAGCATGGGACCTGGATGACGACTCACTGAGGGTAGTGTATTCATGACAGTTGGCCAATGGGGAGGGGGCACAAAAACATGACAAATTTCTAAAAATTGTAGAAAATAACAAAAATAGAAATACATTCGAGTTAAAAGCTAAAATTTGTTGCCAGATTTTGAAACTGAACAGTGATTGCAATTAGAAATAAAAACATGACATAATGAAAAATGTTAAGGATTATCAATTTGCCTTTGACATTTAACACATACGAACATCTGGATAAGAAATTTAATCTGGAAGAAGAAGATTACTTGTGATAATCCAGATTAAATTTAATCTTGTTTTGACTGAGATCATTTTAGACGACATTCCTCTCGCCACCATCCACCCCCACAGGAAATTAAACACCAATGAAGATCATGCTGTGTATGACATTGCACATAATAAAATAGGCTCAAGACAAGTTTAAATACTGGCAAGATAATTTGAATAAATATTTTATTTGTAATTAGAAAAATTTATCAAAACTTTCAAATAGGATCAGAATTCAAAACACAGTATTAGTCATAGAAAGCATCACATATTTAAAATAATAAAATTATTAAAAAAGAAATTTTTGATGGAAAGTACTTAAAAATTTTTTTAAATTAAAAATTCTTAAAAGATTTTTTAAAATTATGAAAAAAATAAATATTTAACCACTTTTCTGTTTCTTAATTTTTTTTAAAAGATTTTTTCATATTTTAGTTTTTTAACAATTTTTTCATTAAAAACCTAAAACATAAAAAAAAACATCAAAAATACTAAAAAAATAATAAAGAATCATTAAAAAAACTAAAAAAACAATGAAGAATCATTAAAAAGATTAAAAATCCCTAATTAAAATTTTTTAAAAACTAGTTAAAATATTAAGAAAATGATTCAAGTCCAATTACTGCATAATATTCAGATCTATAATTTAATAGGAGCTAATGAAAGAAAACTTTGTTTCTAAGAGTAAATTTTTAAATTTATTGAGATTAAATTTTTAAGATTAAACAATGAGTCTCAAATGGATATGTTACATACTGTACCTATGAGCACTAATGAGAGTGTCCCAATCCTCATAAATAATTTGGACACCATGTTTAATTTCTGGGGGTAATATGCTGTATAAGTAGTCCACCACTAGTTGTGGTTTACCTATTTCATACTGCTGGCGAGTATTGTATTTTGTTGATGTTATAAAGATTACCATTTCATTTCCAACCTCCATTTTGGTTATTCCTCATTCAGTAACCTTTTCTAAGTTATAACAGGATATTAAGAAAATTCTGAACAAGAATGATACATCTTTTATGTGCTCTGCCCTTTCAATGCATGGGTGATCAGGGCTCTTCATCCTTTTGTTGCTCTAAGTAACTTTAAGAAGTTGTTCTGTTGGACACATCAGCAAAAATGGATATTTTCAAGACATTAAATTTCCAACATTTCATTGAACTGGAATATTAACAAATATCATCTTCAATATGATTTCCATCATTTGTGATGCAAAAGTTGATGTACTTTACAAGATTCACTTGAACTTGATGCAATAACTCCACATTGCCATGAATTTTAGCACTTTTACTCTTTATGCATTCAATCAAGTGTGTTGCATCTGTGATTTTCATTGAGAACACCTTCTTATTTAGCAAACCCCAGAAAAAGAAGTCAATTCTTTTGACAAAACCATGTTTAATTTGTGGATGTAAAAAATAAATAGTTAATCAGAATTTTTATATGTCCATACTTTAGGGACACCTTGTATATTATATGCTGAAAAGGACGGTTTTGTAATTGCTGAAGAGCTTTGTCCTGAAAAGAGTTTATTGCATATTGTTGCTGCTGACAAGGATGGCTGGAGCTGGAGCTGGCTGATTGGGACTGCTGCCAATGACTGGAACTTTGTGCTGGCTGTTAAAACAGATACACTTTGATCCTAGTCATCTGGGCTGCAGGATGATATTTTTTCAATGCTTTGATCCAGTATCAGTTTTACAACAATCGCTGGTTAAGCTTTTTTTATGAGTTATTTTTAATGTAGGAGTCCCGACAGTATATGATACACCAAACCAAATGTGGCAGCAATATTCAATGTACAGATAAATGGTACATTTATTAATGTACAAGATGGATTCTGATCAGAAGAATCGCCTGGCACAGCTTGGTGAACCAACTTTCCTGGCAACAGACCTAGCAATGGATTCAATATAATCTTTCCACTTCATGTCAGTGGAAAAGTGTGACCTCCAAGAAGGTGCAAAGAGTTGCTCTCCTGGAGGATTTTATCTATCATAAAATAGAGTGGGTCGAAAGTTACTTTATCATAAAATTATTTTATTAATGAAGGCTTGTATGTCCCAGTGATCCCAAGAGTAGAGCTGTCTAGAGTTCCAACTCCTGTAGGGCCACCCCTGGTGGTAAGGTTGAGGAGGATGGACCAGATGGAACACAAACAACTCCTGAAGACCCAAATGGTGAAATCTACACAATCTCACCAGCAAAAGAGGGCAGTGGCAGTTTAGTTGGCATAACCAAGGATGGTGTACCTTGACAGACCCAGCATCTGACAGCCTGATACAACAAGGTTTACCAGATCTTGCCTGTCTCAAGTAGAGAAAAGTAACAGGGTAAGAGGATGACAATCCCAATGCCCAGATTCAAGTGGGTGCAGACAATTTTATAAACACTGTTATATTTCAATAAAAAGAAGTAAATAAATGGTAATATCAGCCACTTGGCATTTACTGACTGAACAGCCCGTGTTACTTTTGGTTGAGATTTTAAATAAATTAAAAATCAAATTAAAGTAAATGTTCAATATTAAATTTTTTTTTTTCAAACTGACACTTTTTTTAAAAATTTTCAATAACAAAATTTTAAAGTTGAGAAGCGATAGTAATAAATTATAGATTTACAAATTTATAAAAAACAAATTTACAAGAAGTAGTCACAAATTTTAAAGTAGTCGTAATAATTCTAAATTAGAATAATAATAATCTATAATAATAAAAATGTGATGATGATGATGTCCTTAACCCCCCTTATGCATGAAGTAAACAATAACAGCTATGATTACAAACTAAACAAGAAAGTACTCAATCACCTACTCTACATGGTATGATCTCAAACTCTTTGCCAAAGATGACAAGGTTTTCCTCAATACTGTAAAATTAGATAAATGTGCAAAAGATTAGATAAATGTGCAAAAGATTAGATAAATGTGCAAAAGTAACATTCAAGAAAGGGAGAATTACAGAATCACACTCAACAGAATTAGATGTTGGCACAAAGGTTAAAGAACTGGAACAAGAAAAAGCTTATAGGTACCTAGGAATTAGCGGAAGGGATGGAATACATCATATCCAAATGAAGTAGAATGTAAGAAAGGAGTACTACAGGCATGTCCGTCTGGTACTGAATACTGAGCTGAATTTAAAAAACAGAATATCAGCCATAAATACCTTGGCTGTCCCTGTGGTGAAATACAGTTTCAACATCCTTAATTGGACCATAACTGATATTAAGGGAATGGATGTCAAAACGAAAAAGCTTCTCACTTGCCTCCGCATACATCATTTCAAGGCTGATGTTGGTCGTCTGTATGTGCCCAGATCTGAAGGATGCAGAGGATTAGTTCAACCAGAACTGTTACAAAACTACAACAATTGGCCTTCAAAGATACCTAGAAACTACAGAAGACTGGATGATAGTCTGTGTCAAAGAACATGAAAGAAGTAAGCTACTTTATCCATTAATAAAGAAAGCCAAGAAGTTCAAAATGGAGTCTCAAGTGGGTGAAGAAATATAAGTAAAGAATAATAATCCATGTGAAGCTGCAAAATACTTAAAAAAGAAAGCAAAAGAAATGCAACCGACCAGATACAGAAACAATGGCAAGATAAACCGCTTCACAGTCAATACTCTGCCCATACCAAACAAGCTGATCTACACAAACCCTGTACCTATCAGTGGCTACATAGTACATGGTTAAAAGCTGAAACCGAAGGTTTTATTCTTGCTGCACTGGACCAATGCTTGTTAACTAGAAATTACCAAGCACACATATTGAAAAATCATGTTAGTCCAAAATGCAGATTCTGTGATAAATATCCAGAAACAATTGACCATCTTGTATCAGGTTGCGCGGTGTTAGCACCAACTGAATATAAAACATGGCATGACAGACTGGGCAAATATCTGTATTGGAAAATCTGCAACGCTTGTGGAAAGGAAACTGTAAGAAATTGGTATGAACATCACCCAGACCCGATTACAGAGATAGGACCTCTAACAATTTTATAGGACTTTACAATACACACAGAACAATCAAATCTAATCACCTTGACATCATGATTAGAGACCACAAAGACAAAATGTGCATCCTTATTGACATGGCTGCAGTCCCTGAAGACTGCAATGTACCTTTAAAGATCTACAAAAACCTATCAAAATACAAGGACCTTGAAATTGAAATCTCAAAAATGTGGCACATGAGGACATTAACAATTCCAATTGAAGTTGGAGTCCTTGGATTGATTGGAAAAGATTACAATAGGCTCATTGAAGGAATCCTTGGTAGCCCATGCCTTAAAGAAATACAAAAAATTATATTCAAGTACAGCCCACACTTTATGAAGGGCTTCATCTATGTAAAATATGGGCAATTTTTTTTTTTCAAAACTGCTCAGTGGAAAATGTCATAATGTCATTTTTGACCTTAGGTCTCTGGTCGTGATCCAGAAAGAAAAGAGTATACACCAGAAACCAAACAATAAAACAATAATAATAATAATAATAATAATAATAATTTAAATAATAATAATCTAATTTTAAATAATTATAATTTTAAAGTCTTCTTTAAGTAGTCACAAATTCTTTTAATCTGTAAAACAAATTAATTTATAAAATTACTAAGCAAAATACAAAGAAATGAAAATTTAAATTAAACATTTAAATTAAATTTAAATTGAAAATTTACGTTAAAAATTTAAATTGAAAATTTAAATTAAGTTCAAATGAATAAGCAAATTGAAATCTGTGTTCACCTTTTAGCGCCCAGACATTGTTGCTTGGCACTTCAAATATTCTGCAAAAGGTGCTCTCTATCCGAGGAATTGATGGAGAATACCCATAATACAAGATCTTCAAGTGAAAACAAAATACTGCACAAAAGTAAATGATACTAGTAATAAAGCTACACTGGCAATGGCTCTCATGGCTTCCAATCTTAAATGATCAGAGGTAGTAGCATATACATAATAATTTCATTGTAAAGCAACTTTTGACCCACCCTAGGGATTTTATACAGAATATATATTTACCTTGAACTTCTTTTTCATCAGTTATGGCACCCGTAGCAGAACCAGTCACAATGACACCATCACTCAGAAAGAATTGGGCTGCTTTTGCCATTTCAGTGATGTCAATATCACTTGTTATCATGTGGGCACTGATATCAAACGAGAAAAAAATTTATAACAATCTGTGATACAATATCCATAATTCAAACATAATATGTTCATTATGAGCTTAATTGTGTTATCAACAAAGGACAAAATGTACTTATAAAATCCCAAAACCTGTCTTATAGGAAGAAAATGAGTAACTACCGACACCAAGGTTCAAGTGTGACACTCTGGACTTATGAATACATGTTTTCCACCAGGTGTATAAATAGCAGTGTCAGGCTACTGACTGCAGTGATTATTGACTAACTATTGAGTAGAACTATCCAGTCGAATTAGCGTGAATTATTATACATCGATGATTTGGGTTTTGATTTAGGATTTACCAGACATTAAGCCAAGAACCGTTTCTGTAGAACCTCATTTCTGTTGTTTCAAGTCTCTTCTTCATCTTTGAGGAGATTGTTCAGCATTTCCTGCAATACAGAAGGACAGATATTATGTAACATTTGGGCACTCTTTTCTTTGTTTCTAAGGAATTTTTTCTGTCTCTTAATACTCTGCTTAGCTTTTGGAATGCATCTTTGGCCATCCTATTACGTCTTCAGATCTCAGTGTCACACTTTCTGTCCTCTGTTAGAACACTTCCCAGATATTTAAATTTCTGTACTTGTTTGATTTTTTAGTATCATCAATTTGTAATTTTCATTTTGGGCTAATCCTTTTGCTGATAACCATACATTCTGTCTTCTTGTAGTTTTTACTTAGTCCTTTCTTCTTGCTTTCCTTCACAAGCTTTTCTGTTACACGCGAGAGGGGAGATTGAATGTGCTTATTTTATTATTACAATAAGTACAATAAAATTACTAAATTACTATCCATTTGTTGGTCAAGTTTAAAATAACAGAAAATTCTATATCTATTACATCAACAGAAGAGTCAAACTTACATATTTCAACAATTTTTATATTAAAAAAATGTGTTACACATATAAATATGTGAAAATGGCAAAGATACAAAAAATAGATATGAACAGACTGAGATCAATAGATATGAACAGGCTGAGATCAATAGATATGAACAGACTGAGATCAATAGATATAATCAGGCTGAGATATTTCTTATATGAGCTCTGGTTTCCCTGCTACTTTCTATCTTCAACAATTAAAATGCAAAGTCAATCATCATCTTTTGTCTTCCTGAACCTTGTTTCTTTATTGTACTTTCCTCACTTCCCCTCACTAATGCCTTCTTATTTTTTTCCAGTCTCAGTAACCCCTGGCATCTTAGTGGCATTATCACCTTGCTTGCAGCAAAATGACAAAAAAAAAAAAGGGGGGGGGGAGAAGTGATATAAATAACTCCTGTTGTTTTTACAATAAGCTGCCTAGAAGGTTTCAGGCTAAACTTATCTGCAAGACACCCAAGTCTGCCACATTTACTCATTCCAATAAAAATAAGAGATTTCAAAATAACAAGATAGGCTTCTCTGTTTATTATTTGAAGTGCACTCAAATAAGACAGACCTCAACCAATAGCATGTTGGCTAAGAAGCTCATTTTGCAAACAAACTTAACACTGGAGTGAGGCCGATCCATTCTCATTATTCTTTTATACCAAGCTAAGCTTTGTAAATAAGTTTTGTTTTGTGGTCGAGGTAATTGCATCTAGGTTTAAACAAAGGCCAAAATCTCAAATATTGTTTTACAAGTCAAGCAGCTCATTGTGGTGTCGATTTTAATGCCCCAGTTGAGGTAGCGTTGTGTGTTGCTTGACAAGATGATGGATGGTGAGGGTCATGGTTATGATTTTTTTTCACTCTTGTGCATAGTAACCATTAGAAAGAAAGCACACCAGTTATTTCTGAATTCCTGTTGTCTGTCTTGAATGTTGCTTTGATATGGACAGCAGATTCTCGAATTACATTTTCAAGTCAAATTACAAAGTCTGGCAATTTCTCATCATCTTGTCTTTGGAAGTTGCATACTTGGCTCAGGTGTTGAACATTTGTCTTCTGTGTTCAGAAAATAATTACATATTATGTATTCACCACTATGAATAATGAACCAACCAAGACAGGGCCATGGTTAAATGGTAGACGCTGTGTCTGGAATTAATTTATCACCTCTTCTATTAGGACGTTCCCAAAGAAATTATGTGTTTCACCACTATGAATTAGGAGTAAACCAACCAAAGCAGAACCATGGTTCAATGGTAGAAAACTGTTTCTAAAATTCATTTAACATCTCTTCACTCTGACAGTGTGTCACTGATAGTACATTTTAGAGTTTGACTGCATGGAATTTTAACTTTAAAAGACAAGAAGGATAATATTGCTACAGAGGCATTTATAAACATTTGTGCAGTGTATTGGATGCAGTAATTGTCTCATGGTTTAAAAGGTTTAGAAAATGACAATAGTGATATATGCGACAATCCTCAGTTTCAAAGATGATATACTTTGAAGAATTTTTGAAAGAGTCTGTTGAATTGAAAGAACCAGGAATCTGGCACAAAATTTTAATTTATCATGTTCAACTCTCCACAAACACTTCAAGCAAATTAGCAAAATATGTAAGAAGGGAATTTCAGTTTCTCATAAACTTTTGCTTAAGAACTGAAGACAACATTTTGCTGTCTGCAACCAGGAATGTTCACTTTTCATTTTTGTATTAAATTATTACAGGTGATGAAAAATGGGTTTTGCATGCCAACAAGAAACAGAAAAATTTGACACAAATAAGCATAAACAGGTCCATTTTTTTTAAAGAACAAACCAGTTTGTCTGATGATCTCAGAAGTGTGAAACCCAGGGTTACAAACTCATATCCATACAACTGAATATAAAATTTTTCCCAGGTTTTTCACGGGTCAACATGGGGATGGTTGTCCCTGATATTGATGAACAGAAATTATCTGCTATTTTTCCCTTCTTTATAATGAATGACTTCATTTTAGCAGGCTTGAACTTCCTTCTTGCCCAAGCTATAAGCTTTTCAAATCTGCGTGGATCCACCTAGAACTAAAGATGTGATGATCAGGTTGTCTATATATTCTCTGATCAGTGCCTGACACACTCCTATCTTCATCATAGGTCCTTGACACTCAACTTCAGCTGATTTGCCCACCAAGCACACAACAACAAACATATAAACAACTGGAATATATATATATATATATATATATATATATATAGAGAGAGAGAGAGAGAGAGATGGGGTGGGAGAGATAGATACATAGATGAACTCCATGAATTTCACATATTAACATACTAGCAGCATGGCCTGGCATTGCCCGTGCTTGATTCAAAAATCGTATAGACTCATACAGCAATTGCTATTACTTGACTTAAAATATTTTTGCACTTCCTTGCCTTTAAAGGAGTGCCCTTTTCCGTGCTGATGTTGCTACATGCCTTATTTCTTGCCTATCTCACACTGCAAATTTTTTCTAAGCTCTATACTAAACATTAAATCTGTTACGAAAAAAGAACTAAACAAAATGAACACAAAACAATCAGCTTTAAAAAAGGACTTGTAAATGGAAAAAACAAATGAAAAAAGAATGTTAACAACAAATACTTTTTCACACCCAACCCAATTCTGCAGAATCAATGTTGAGTTTAAGCAAGCGAAAGTGCCATGCAGATTTAAATTTTTCCCACTTTTGATGAATGCAGCTGTTGTTTTTTTTTGCATGCTAGCATGCTACTTAACATTCGTGTTAGTCAGCTGTTGGCTCTCATGCTGGCCAATAGAATCTTCCTGCCTATTCGTGGCAGCCAGCTATAGGCTCTCACTCTGGCCAGTAGAAAATGGCCACAAACTACATGAAAACTGCTGTAGAAGCATGAAAAAAATTGATTATTTCCACTATCAATGGGAGTTGGGAAATGCAAAGTCGGTCTTGGCCTTCCCACTAAATTGGAGCATATGCATGTAAATTTTGGTGCAAATCCATCGAAAATTGTAGCTGTGCATTCATTACACACACAAACACACACACACAAACACACACACACACACACACACACACACACACACACACATCCTGCCTTTTATAGATAGAGATATGCATAAAACTCCTACTTTAAACTCAATTTTGTACCATTCTTTTTGAGAGAGTGTTTGATTAAATGCCATGATGGATTTAACATGGAGAGACTTACAATTGGAAAAAAGACTGATTAGATTTTAATCTGAGTTAATAGCTGTTAAGAAATATTTATGACAACATCAGACGTCTTAAAAATCTGTTTCTTACTCAAAGAATTAAATCCTTAAATGTTTTCATTTTTGAATGTTCATTATTTTCTGGCTATTACCGTGAAATGCTAGTGTTTGAAAAAAGCGTTTACAGCAAATTAGTGATTTTAGGTTAGTGTAGTTTTATCTTTTGTACAGGATCCTTGCTGAAATGGAGACGAGTCTAGCAACGTCACAAAATTCGATGGATTTTCAAGTATTAAACATAAATCTTTTGGACTCAGGTTACAATATTGAGGTCAATGAATTTAAGTTTTTTTTCCCTTCTAACCAGAAAGTTTGGATGTATCTTGCTTTGTTTACATCTACTGAAATGAAAAAAAATATTTGTAATTAAATAGAATAAAAATGCTGGAACAGAAAGAAAATTAAATAAATTTTGTTAAATCCAGACATTGGATTATTTAGTTAAAGCTGGATTTTCTTTCTTGACTTTTTAATTTGTTCTCCATCATAGAAAATTTCAAGCCAAATTGCCATATTTCTTATTCACTTATGATGATATTACATTTAAAATGTTTACACAAAAAAGTTGCATGAATTTCTAAAAGAAAAAAATTAAATTTTGCAGTTGGTTTTCTGTATTGCTATTAATACTGCTATTGTAAAAATACAACATAACCTGACCAGCTAACGATTACCACACATTGCATTTCAATTCTTGATCTTGTTAGTGTGCACTGAAAGCTGGGAAAGGGTCTGATACATGCTCACATGGTAATATAATGAAAGACAAAGGTCACATCAAGGAATAAGAACACAAACCCTGTTTCTGATGT